GAACAACCCACCAGGACATTGTAAGGCAAATAAGGCCCTTATAAACCTCATGGGTGGCCAAGAAGTCGTCTCTCTCGTTGGTCGATGGTAGGACCTGATTAACAACCTTGAATGGTGTTGAGTCGAAAATCTCTTGGGCTATGATCATAATGCATCGTTTACACATTCCCTCATGACCCTTGAGCCACAGTAAATCGGAGTTACGGCATGACTTGATATAATAGCACATGTGACTCTCCAATAGTGCCTTTCCAATAGAGCCTTTCCTATTATATGCTATGTAATGTCCCCTCCCTTCCCCCCTTTTCTTATTTTCCTTTTATTACTATGCCTTTACTATGGCCATTGGAGAATCCAAGCCAATGGGTTCTTGCATCATAGCTAATAGCTTAAACACTGCCTAATTGACTAGTATTAGTGAGGGAGCATTCTTTGGGGTCGAAGTGTTTTCCTCCATCCTAGTGCAGGTTCCAAGTGCAATGTAGATTACTAATATGTCAACTACAAGAACTAATTGTATTATACAGACTCATAGGACCTCATTAGGGCACCTCTGATTTGATATGTAAACAAAGACCTGATGTATGTCATACATCTCTTCAAAGTTGCCATGAGTCCTCTATACTGAAAGCTGTAGTAAACAGTGACAATGGCAAGAGCTTTTCTGAATCCGTCATGAAAGAGTTGAGTACCCATAGGAGCCAAAAAACTAGGCCCTGTTACATGGCAGGGTCATTTACACCCCCCTTTGTCCTGCTGATCAATGTTAAACCCTTGTACAAGCAACGGACTGAGCTTAAGCTTTGGGAGGTACATTTGCCTTCCAAATCAAAACTGGAAATGAGGATGGACCCTCAGTTTCCAATAATAAACAAAACAAAGAGTTTGGAGTTCAAGATCCAGTGATATCCAAACACTCACATCTCTACTTGCTTTCGAAGGATCTCCTTTGCTCAGACTCCTTAACTCTTTGAACCAACCTTTAGGCCATCCATTAATGTGCCCTATAAAGTTCATTGGATTAAGCAGCTCCCAAGCCAAGTTAATCATCTCAACACAAGCCGGTCTTTGTTTAAATCACTGACTTTCTCATCACCATTATTAAAATCTTTGTCTCCTCATTTAGATTCTTTGGGCCAAAGTTTCATATTTTTCACATTTATAGCAGGTTGCATTATCTTATTTTGGTTTGATTTGAGTTACTGTTTTACAGGGAGACTTCATACCTTTGCATGATCCCCTTCTTTTTGCTCTATTTCATTTTTTTTTTCTAAATTGTTTTGTGTTTTATGGATCTAAGATCTTAGACTACAATGCTCTCATCTTCATCAATGTCCATTTGGCTAGTAACCAATTAATTTGTGAAATATCAGTCCATTATTCGGAGTAATTTGCAATATGCTGCTTTAAGTGCTTTGAGAAGACTTCCTCTGGATCCCGGAAATCCAGCATTTCTCCATCGTGCTGTACAAGGGTTAGTTTTTTAACGTTCTAGTTTCAATGTTTCATTATGTAGACCTATTGCATGTGAACATCATTCTTGATACATGTGATCTTTAATGGTTGTGACATGTGGCACGGACTCACTATGGTTTAGTGTTGTGATGTGCTCACGGGACCTTTCCCTTCTATGGTTGCTCCTAAATGAATCTCTCCTTAGCTCCCTTCTATTTCCATCCCCCTTTTCTCCCCTCCTTTTTGCCTATCTGTTATTGAAAACATCCGTTTTCTTGAAAATTTACTTTCAAATGGGCTTATTTTGAAACCCAAAGGATGGTTAATACTCTTACCCCTTGTGCTGCTTAAAGGTAAGATTATCTCCATATTGTGCAGAGTACGAATCATTAATTATTGGCTAGAAATAACCCTGGAAATGCTAATTGACTTTCTGCAAGTGTTTGGAGAGTCTCAATTGATTGGAAAACAACTAAGGAATCAATGTTTAGAAACAAAAAATATTCTTTTACTCCTAAAGAGCTAAGTACTTGATGTTTCAATTTGAAGAAATTTGTGCCAGTTTTGTGCCTAGGTCAGAAATTGGTAAGGCAGAAGCATTGACTGTTTTGCAGCATCTTGATTTACGTATCAAAATTGAGAAACACTATTTGCTACCCCTAGCATTTGATTGCATTGTAGAGTAAAAAGTATAAATGGGGTTACTATTTGCAACATTGAAGGAAATACAGGTTTTTTATGGTCATTGAAACAGATCCAGATTGGAGTCAACCTTTTATTGACTCTTTTGTGTGTGGAAGTTTGCCGAGTGGGTGAAAGAAAAAATTAACTTGAGGTGTCGAGTTCTTCAATATGCCAAAATTGTGTCTGTCCAAGAAAAGTGGTAATTGCTCTACAAACAAATTGATAGGTTGCTATGAACCTTAGTGACGATGAAAAATTCTGTTGCAAAAAGTGTAAATTTGGCGAGGAATTGGATTTCATCCCCAAAGTGGTGGGGGTCATACATGTAGATATCGTTATCTACTCTCTTTTAAAGATTTTTTGTTTTCTTCTCTGTTTATTCTCCTGTTCCTGTGGGTAGTTCCTCGCTGCCCCTCCCCTCCAATGTTTATCACTTCTGGGTGCATATGGATGGTCTAATCCTGCTGGACCGTTGTCTGTCTTCACTTGAGCTATAATGACAACAAGTCTTCACTTATCTGTTCTTATTGTTAAGGGTATATTGTCCATTAAGACGTTTAAGACAGTCAAGTTTGAATGATATTGTTGCACTTTGTTTATTTATGTTTAGAGTTTTAATGCTTTAACCACACTTTGAATTCCAAAAACTGGTGTCCTGGGTGTTTGCTTTCTGCTGCCATCATTTATGGTTGCCAATTTTTGGCTTCAACTTTCAAGCCCCTTTGTGACTCTCCACCACTAACCCCAAGAAATGAACACAATTTCATCTCCATTACCCATAAAGATGGTTGCAATGACAGCTAGCACCTCATCAAAACGCCTGTCAACATGTCCATTAGCAACTCTGTCATCTGCCATGACACCTTCACAACCAAAATAGAAACCCAAACATCACTTGCTACCACCACTAGCTCAAACTTTATCACAATGTCCATACCATGGTAAATCTCCATCCTTATGCATGTGACAGCCACCTGCACAATACAACCTCTCATTTATGCTTTTATTTGAAATCCATCCTGCAACCCATGTCCAGATATGTACCTGCATTATATGAACTCCATTTACTTGCGTTATCCCAGTCAGCTCCTTCATTAACTTTTTTCCGACCTAGATTTGTTGTGGTTCCTTAGTTTTTTACTATTCACTTTCACCAACCCAAGCTATACCACTTCTCATCAGAAATTACAGAGAAGCACCATCCAATGTGACAAGTAACCTAGCCATTAACATTTGTAACAAAATTTGCTGTCATTAGGACATGACGATTATTCAGAGAAGCTTCTCTTTCTCTGACTGGTGTTGGAAGTGAGGTGCTAGGGAGCATGGAGGTTGGAAGGTAATCTGTAGCCGGCAATGGTGAGGAAGGCAGAAGAAGAAAGGGAAGATGAGAAAGCAATCAAGTTAGTCTCTGAAATTAAAAAGGAAACGGTAGGTCAAATTGTCTGGTTAAAAAATTGAAACTACAAAGGGGTATAGATCTGTTGTTATAGATTACAGGGAGAATTTTGAGTTATGTTTTAAAGTTCAAGTGTACAAAAGGAAAAAGTGACCCTAACTCTGGAAGTGTAACTTAGTGTTGTTGTTCAAAGCTTGCTTATTTTGCTTTAGCTCTTATGTCAATGCTCTGACATTATTGTCTTTATATGTTGCTGCTGCATTTTCATTCATTTGTTAACTCAATTCTTGTGTTGTTACAGAGTTTCATTTGCTGATCCAGTAGCTGTGAGGCATGCTTTGGAAATACTCTCTGAGTTAGCCACAAGAGATCCTTATGCGGTTGCTATGGCATTAGGTAATTTGGTCAATATGAAGTTATAAACTCTTCACATTGTACTTGGTGTTTGCTTTCTTGAACCTGACTTGATTAATGTAACATTTCTAACTTTTCTACATTTGAATGGTCTTTGCTTTGTTTATTTGAAGGGAGATATCCCGCATCAACAAATTAGATAGACCCAAGGTTTGTTTATATAGTTGAGGGGCCACTCTAATCATTGCCAATTGGTTTTGGGATGGAAGCTCCAACATGGTATCGGAGGTAGGCGAGTCCGGGTTGCACATGAGGGAAGGTGTGATGGGAGATATCCCACATTGAAAAATTAATTAGACCCAAGGATGGTTTATATGTTTAAGGGGCCATTTCATCCATTGTCAATTGATTTTGGGTTAGACTGGATGCTGTAACACTTTAAATTGGTCGATTTGCATACCTGCTATCAGCTTTTGCCCATATTAGATATAGGCAATTGCTTGAAGTTGTCCTAAGATTTTTTGTATGGTTCTAAAGAGTAAGGTTTTTTCTTACTGTTGCCGAAGTGGTACATTCTGATCTCATAAAATGAGACTATTCAGGAAAGGGTTGAAAGATCCCAAAAATGTGTCAGTTTAAAGATTTGGGTCAGTCAAACGAGGATCCTCCCAAATTATTGTAACTAGTATTGGCGATTGTAAACAAATAGTGTCAGCTGCATTCTAGCCTGACTTAAATTTAATGAACTTATAATGGTGGTATGACTCGTCACAAATGAGTAAGTTATCGAAGTATAGCTTGGTTGACTTGCCAGTGTGGTGCTTATCTAGGTGACATATGTAGTTATATACCACAACAGTGTTCTCCTCTATGATTTTGTGGTTCTCATTTTTGGTAAACGTATTTGTTACCAGGATGTAATCAAGGTTAAGCTGTTTTCTCATGTATCCATGTTCTTTTATTTCCTCGTGCAGGAAAGCTTGTACAACCTGGAGGTATTCTTGTATCCTTTGTTCGTCTATGGTCGTCATCCTTTCATTAATTACGTTGATTTTCTGATTATTGGTATTAAGTGGTGTAGAGTTTGTTTGAATCAGGGGCTTTGCAGGATGTTCTCCATTTGCATGATGTTCTTGCCAGAGTGGTACTGGTCAGGTTGTGCCATACAATATCTAGAGCTCGTGCACTCGATGGTATGTGCTTTTTCAAAATCTAATGCAAGTAGTATGTATATCTTTTAAGCATGATATGGTTGTAAGATTTGTAATGTTGTGTACAGAAAGGCCAGATATTAAGTCTCAGTTTAATTCCGTGCTCTATCAGCTGCTCCTGGATCCCAGTGAAAGAGTTTTCTTTGAGGCTGTCCTGTGTGTGTTGGGAAAATTTGATGGTGCAGAGAGGTATTTTTTTCTACTACGAATGCTATCATTTCCTTATTTTCATCTATCTTGAAACTGTTTTTGTCTTTCCCAATCTATCTACTTAGTTTCTAATCTTACATTCATCTATTGTAGGACTGAGGAACGAGCTGCCGGGTGGTATCGTCTAACAAGAGAAATTCTTAAGCTTCCAGAAGCACCTTCTGTGAAGGACTCTAATGGCGAATCGAAAGATGCAGTTCCACCGAAGGCCAGCAAAGATAATTCTCGTAAAACAAGACGTTCACAACCGCTTATTAAACTTGTCATGAGAAGGTTCTGCAACTATTTTCTATAAAAATTTTCATTTTTGGTTGGTGGACGGTGAGGTTCTTGCTTGGCATGACCTTCTAGTTCTGATTGATGAGTCATAGGTGAAAAATAAGAATGTTTCTGTACGTGTGATTTCCACCTAAAATTCAATTGAACCTTCAACATCTCTAATTTTGCTTTAGGTTGGAGAGTTCCTTCCGTAGTTTCTCTCGGCCTGTGCTTCATGCTGCAGCCAGAGTTGTGCAGGAGATGGGGAAAAGTCGTGCTGCTGCTTTTGCATTGGGTTTACAGGATATTGATGAAGCAGCTCATGTTAATACATTTTCTGAAAATGGTGATTCAGTCAGTTCAGATCTTAACGAGCTCTCTCAATCTGAAGGTAGTGTTTTGTTGTATTTGTTGGTTAAATTGAAACTTGAATAATTGAATATCAGGGCTTAGGGCAAGAAAGAGAGAGAAAAGAGGAAGAAAGAGATTTTGAAACACTATTGTGCTTCGGGTGTGTTGCTTACACCATATCACGTATTTATATTAGATTGATATTGAATACATTTACAATGTTAGGAATGTAGAACATAATAAAGAAACAACAGAATAGGAAAGTAACACTTTAACACTCCTCATCTAGGTCGAGCATAGAGACCAAAAATGCTAATCTTGAAACAAAGGCTACTAATGGTGGATCATGCCAAGAGTAAAGTAAGAATATCATGGAGTTGATCAGACTTGCCATCCGGGGATTTATTTGATTGACACCACATTACTCTGCTTAGGCAACAAACTAAATGGTTGCTTCATGTGAAGTCTAAGACACAGGCTGAACATATTTCTTTGGTGATATGCTTATTTACTCGTTGGCAACTGCCAACTCCCCTGACAGACAAGAGTAGGGAGATGAACATCAACAAAAAACCTAGGTCTCAAGCATATAACCGACGACGATCAATCAGAGAGACAAATAAGGATTGCAACTCCAGCGATAACGCACAAAGATAGATGGATAGAGGCCGTGACAGGGACAAGAAACATTGATCGCACACTGTAGTCACCATTAATAACGGCCACGACATTTAAAACACATACCCACATTGATCATGGCTAATGTTTATCTCTGCACAAATACACAATTCACAGTTCGTCTTGTTCAAAGACAATGATGGCGAGGACATCTGTTTGGTGGTCATTAATTGCTTAAATGACCACACCAAAAAAAAGCAATATTAGATGACAATTATGACGACATATTGGAAGAGAACATAGTGGCTAGCGAAAACAAGGATTAAAATTTTGTTTTAGTGCATTGTTTTGGCCATTTGGGAAATAGAAATGTTTTGGAAACAAATAATATTGTTTTGGGAATTTGTTTCCTGGATATTTGACGTTGGTTGAAATATAGGGAAACATCTTGATTTCTTGAAACAACTTGAAACATTGATGGAAACATGTTGAAACATGACAACACACCTCAAAACACCTCGAAACTTTCTGAAGCACCTCGAAGCATTGGAATTTCAATTCAATCATTAATTTAATTCATTCTCCTTAGAAACGAAAACATTTCAACCGTTCCGAAATGACATTTTAATTCTTGCACCGATGACAAACACAATAGCACCAACACCAACAACAAAAGTACTAACAAAACAAACATAACCAACAATAATACAATGAACCATAGAAAACAACAAATTCAACCTTAACAATCAACAACAGGGTAAACCAAGCAGAACTAGGGAGTTGAATAAGCCTAAAAGAGGCTGGATTGGTGCTAAAACTCACAACATCTGGACTAAATCGGTTGAAAATTCAAAAATCGACAGTTAATCTGGCCAAAAATGACTGAACCAACACTGCACTGTTTTGGAAACCACTAAAACCAGCACCGAATTGGTCGAAAAACCACTGAGCCGACACTAAACGAACACCAAATTGGATTNGGCCAAAAATGACTGAACCAACACTGCACTGTTTTGGAAACCACTAAAACCAGCACCAAATTGGTCGAAAAACCACTGAGCCGACACTAAACGAACACCAAATTGGATCGACAAACCACTAAACAAATACTAAACCATGTGGAAAACATTAAACCGACATCCAACTACACCAAAAATTACTTAACCAACAATAAATCGTGTTGAAAACATTGAACTAGTAGTGCATCGGGATGAAAACCGTTGAACTAACACCAAATTGGGTAGAATCAGAACTAAATCGGGCTGAACATAGAGACAACAATGTTAAGGATGACTAAAACTCGATGTATTCTGGGCCAACCCAACCCCTAGGCGAGGTAGGTGAGTTAGGTGGTCGTCTAGGGCTCCACTCACCAAGAGTTCCAATCAAACAAGTATTTTGGTATGATTTTAAGTTGAAACTTATATAATTGAATATTTGGGTTACACCTATTTATATTAAATTAATATTGAAAACAATTACAATATTAGGAAAATAGGACATAATCAGAACGTACAATAGGAAAATAACTAATAGGAAAGCTACACTAGGTTTAAGAGACTCCTTGACCATCAAAATGAAATATTCAGTTAATAAGGTGCGAGATGATAGCAGTTTATAATTGCATTGTATGTTACTTGTTATTTAAGATGGTTAGTGCAATGTTTTATTAGTGACATTTCCGAATTGTTTGTTATATATATATATATATATATTTTTTTTTTTTATCTATTGCTTTCTGAGGTGATGTTATCTTTGGTTTCAAAATCCATTATTTAAGTTCAGTTTCTTTCTGAGTTGAACGGTTTGTAGGTGGGGATCCCTTTTCTATCAGGCCTGTGAAAAGTGGACTGAGTTGAGGCAGGCCAGATATTTGGTCCCAATTCTTTTGTCCTTAGGTGTCACTAAATAAGTTTATAGTTCTATCTTCTTGGCACCGTTTTTATTGGTACACAAAATAATAATACTAAATTATAATATTTTCAGCTGGACAATGTGTCAATTCCTAGCTCGGTGACATTTACTTGATGTGCATTGGATACCCAATTGTTTGTCTCTGAAGCGTGTAAATTTAAGAGTATAATGGAATGGCATTTGAAGGAATATTCTTTTTTCTTCCCCGTCATTTTCTTTCTTTCTTTCTTTCTTTGTTGCGTTCTTTTCATTTTTCTTCTTTTTTGCTTTTTAAAAAATCAGGTATTCGAAGGGTTTCTTCTATCTCTAATGGAATAGGTGGCAAGGACACAATTGTGGGTTTACTAGCTTCATTAATGGAAGTGGTGCGGACAACTATAGCATGTGAATGTGTTTATGTAAGGACCATGGTAATTAAAGCACTCATATGGATGCAAAGTCCACATGAATCCTTTGACGAATTAGAATCCATAATTGCATCAGAGCTTTCTGATCCAGCATGGCCAGCAACTCTATTGAATGATATTTTGCTTACCTTACATGCTCGGTTCAAGGTACGTTTGCAATTGTTAAAAGAAAAAATATTATGTTTTCGATCTTTCATTTACCATTCTGGAAGTTTTTCTAAATCATGTTTACATGCTATTCAATGCATAAATACTACTAATCCATGTATGTTATTCTTTGCTAGGACAATTTGTAGTACTGAAACATCACTAGAGAATAGTACTCGATCCAACTCAAGTCAACAAAGTCTTATATCAAAATTTTTGGGATCGTTTGCATGAATACTTGGAAAAACATGGATATGATAGGGTAGAGAGTATACACAACTTAGAAAGGGGCGGTGAATAGGTTTATTAAAAATTCTCGATATAATAAACACCAATTTTAAACCTAATTGACCACAATTACCAATTTAACAAATTAATTGATCAATTTAGTACTTGAACCCTTTTTTTAACCCAAAAAACCCGTCATGTGAATTGATGCAAGGATTTAGCAATTGATTAAATCGCACTCAAATTCACCACGACCTCAATCCCTCGCCAAAGCCAATGATTTATAAAACTCTTCTTAATGAATCGAAAGATAATCATTCATTCATTCAAATACATAGTGCGCGTGTGTGGGGTTGCTACTGTATATACAAAATAAACCAATAAAGGACACAAAAAATTTGTTTACGTGAAAACTCAACTGGGAAAAACAGCGGAACCACTCGGGTTTACCTAGCCTAAACCACTAAATTCAAAGTCGAATTGCAAGTATTCGAGGTTTATATCTCAATCAATAAGTACTCGAAGCTTATACCTCAATCAATATCATGGTTCTATGCTCCTTTGCAGTGCAATTCTCTTGCCTGACACTCATCAAAATTATGTGTAGCTTCACTTGAACGCATCCACCGCAATGAACTGTTTTGGCTCTTCAAGTGATGTTATAGGATGCACCCAAGATCCTTGGAACGCACACTTCTCCACAATGGGTTTTGTAGATCTCTAAGTTAGATCTCATTTTTTAATGTGTAAGGTTGAATAGAAGAAAAAGATGGATGACATTCGAGGATTTAGGGATCTAAGGTTTTCCTTGGTCTCTAAATGTGTAAGAGGCAGATTTTTGGCTTACAATAGAGATACCCTAGCATAGGAAGACTTGCCCTTTATGTAGGCTCAGAATTGAGTTTCTCTTGGGGACTAAGTAAAAACAAATTTGCAAACCATCGCTCGAGTTGTAAGAGAGCAGTCAGAGAATGGTTGTCACTGAAATGAAAAAAAACACATCAAACCAGATCTGGCAAGCAGGGACTGCTCGAGTGGCTTGAGAGCGGCATCATGTTAGTGTTTCCCGATTTTATCCCCAAGTATTCAAAGGTTGTTCTAGTCGAAGGCAAGTGAGTAAAGGGTAGTTTCTACTGATTTTTTAAGCTAGAAACTTTGCAAAAACTTGTCCCATTGAGCACTATGGGGTGTTGTTCAAATAGGGTCCGATGAATGACTCGATCTATGTTTTCAAAACACATTTAGAGTTTAGAAAATGTTTTTCAATGAAAAGCGTAGTAGTTATTCTCGAGTATTCCTAATTCCAATTCCAATTTCCTAAACATCCAAAGTCTATAAATAAACTAAGGTTTCTAGGCTTTTTCCTACGCATTGAAGATGCATTAAAGATTTTCTTGATTTGTGGTTGAAGCTTGAACTTTGTCCTTCCATGTTTTTTTTGGATTTTTGATCTTTGAAACATCTTGACCATGAAATTAGGTTGAGATTTATAAAGACTTCACGAAATTAGCTAATTACAATAAAATTCTTAACAATCTCTCCATTTGGTAATTTTGTGACAAAATACACGAGTAAGAAATTTATTATATACAACTCGAATGAATTGTAAAAAAATCTCAACACTTATTGTACAAGCCTTACAATCTCAAAAACTAGGTAGAAACTATCTTCAGATATATGCTTTGAAGATCATCGTTCCGCACACAACAACTCAACCAATAACTTGAAAAGCATCATCTTTGTAAATGACATAATATAATCAAAGATATGGAAATCATCAAGTGAAGCATAGGGTATGTTCATGTTAGCATCGTGAAAGTGCAATCCATGCCACATAAACAAGAAATATTAGCCCAATAAGCTTGAGAACTTAATAGATTTAGTAAAGACCATGCACAACACGCTTTCCCCCTTTGTGTTCACAAAGGCAAATAACAAAGAAAATATGCGGCTCATGCCAAGTTTGTAAATATACTCCTCTTGAGTATTTCATCAAATTTCTCCTTACTTTTTTTCCATGCAACTAATCCCTAGTTAGTTATAAATTTCCCCTCAATTAATTCAAAAACTTCTTTTTTTCACGGATTGTGAAGTCACAACAGTAACAAGTAAAGTAGACTCTTATCAGAAAGAAAAAATAATGTAGAGAAACGTGGTATAAAAGAGATAATCAAGCATAACATCTAGCATAACAAGGATAGGCAAAATGAAATAAGGAAAGGGACAAACCATGACATATAACTTAAGTCTAAAGAGTAATAGTTAACTCTAAAGCATCGGGACTCAAAGTACGTCACATAACAAGAAAAAAATAAACAAAAGAAAAGCATAATAAAAAAAAAACTTGAGTACTTAAGTACAAGACAACGAATAAATGAATCACTCATGAAGCTCTCATACAATCCTATACTAAGTCTCCTAAGTCAAACAACATCGGTGGTTGTATCATCTCCATCATCATGATCACCATTATCTCGTGCTCCACTGCGTCAGGGCTGCATTAGATCCAACTCATCACTGCGCTCTCCTTCCTTTTTCTTACCCTTTAACAACCTCCTAGGTCGCATAACTCTGCGTCCAATAGATTTCAATTAGACCTATGGACATTCTCTAGGCTTACAACCCGGCTGTCGATGTCACCTAACCTCAGTGAGGTTAGGTGATGGTGATCATCCATATGTTTCTCTATTCTTGCAATCATGTCAACTATAGAAGGTAATTGGGCAACCATAATGCCAGAACCAAACTCAGATGGTGGTGCACTAGAAGTACTAGCTTGTGAGTGTACTGGTGAGGGTGCACTTGGTCCACTCTCATCACATGGAACCTCCATCTTATCCTCCCTCTCCTCTCAACCATAATAGACTAGGTAACTCTTCTTTAGAGGCCTCTTGGGTTTTTGCATCCTATTCTTAGGCAAGGTAATTGCACTATTTGCCTTGCAAATCCAAGTAATCAATGATCCAAAAGAAGATCATCAGATACTCTTCCCTCCTCAAAGCTCATCGGAGGACCCTTGAAATCAATTCGCCAGATGACCCTTGGAATCAATAGAGGTAGGTCCAAATCTTATCCAGGCCCTATGGTGTGTAGCATGTAAGCTCTCAAAAAAGTGAAATTAGAAGCATTGGTTTTCGGGTCAACGTTGTAGTTGGCTATAAGATTCAACATCCTATATTCTTGAGTCAAATCTCTTTTAAAAGAATTTTTGTTCAACCCAAATATTAGGATGAGGAATATCATACAATTCAGTAGCCACAGTAGAAAGACGAGGCAACTCATCAATAGGCTGGTGTCATCCTTGGCCCTATGCAGTCTAAGAGTGGTAGCAATGAGAGTTGTAGAAGAATTGTACTCAATCCCACAAATATATGCAAGAAAGTAGTCAACATAGGAATCAGGTTCTTGAATGTGAGCATAAAACTCTTTAACTATATCATCATTTGCCGACTCAGAGGCCACGAAGAGTTGAGTCCACCTTCGATTGACAAAATTCATTGGAAGTGAAGATCTTATCCTATCAAAGTTAACACCACGCGCAGTTATGACCGTGGACATATTCTTCCCTGACTTCTCTACATACTCGGGAGTTTGAAATTGAGTGTTTTCTTCAAAATCAATCTTCACTTCCTCACGTTCTTCCTCAACCCTGGCCCATTTCTCTTCTTGTGAAGCCATGTCCTCAATCAACTAGTGAATCTAGGTCGCAAGTATAGAGATCTCTCAAATCCGAACACGAATCAACATTAGAAAGACGCTAGAAGATGTTCAGAAATCAAAAAGTGTGATGGGTTTAGTTTTTAGGAGGTTGGGATTGTGACTTAGGGTGTTTGGAATGCAAATCAGATTTCGAATTGAAAGCCCTAGATGTCGACTGATTGTAGGGATTGCTCGAGCATTGTCAAGGTTGCTCGAGTGATCCATAAGGCTTTATTGTCCAAGTGACTATTCAACTTCTAACGCTCTCCGAACCTCTCCGACTCTTCATATCCTCCTTCAATCAACCTATTTAAGCCTCAAACATCATGCATGGGTGTTTGTACAACTTAAATGCAACTAAATGCACATGCATGTATAAAATTAGGATCTAAATACCATGCTCTTTTCAAATTTAACAATAAAATGCACAAAATCATTAATAATGAAAATCACACATGTTCATATGATGGCAGATTCATCCTTATTTTATCATTCCCATACATTACTCTCAAACATATTAAAGAACATAGAACTCAATTTTCATGCATCTTAGAGCAATCTCCTCTCACTTGGTTCAATTTCACTCACACGTGTTCAAATTTTGCATTATTGATCAATTCATGTGTAATGTGTGGAACCAAACTTCGACACTACTAGGAATCCGTCTAGATCAAATTATTAATAAAGGTTTATATGAATTTTTAATGCATCGTCTAAGTGAATACATAACCAGTTAGTGAGTGTCTTGTACATTTTTTACTTCTTATCTTTTTGGACACTCCTATTTTTTCATCCTTTCTACTCTTGATGACCTCAATTATCACGATTGTGAATTTCGTATTTTACAAATTATGCTTTTAAACTTGTGTAGCTTAGTTTTTTGAGCTTTACATGTGAACAATGACATTAAGCATATAGTACTCTCAACAATTTACGTGTAATTGAACTAGCCATTCTTTTTATGCCTCACTTTTTATATTTTGCCAAAGTAGACTCTTTTATTACATTTGGCTCATTGACATTTTTTTAAGGGATTTGAGGCACTGTTATTTAAGGCTTAAAGCGAACCGAAGCGACCAAGGCTCCTAACGCCTAGGCGAGAAGCGAGAAACGAAGCGACACGCTTTACAGAAGCAAAGCGAACAGTTAAAAAAAAAAATATTTTAGTTTAATTACTTCTAAACAATCTAAGTTCTAATTTTATATATACTAAATATTTAAA